AGCAAAGCAGCAGCAAAGCAGCAGCAAAGCAGCAGCAAAGCAAAGAGGAAGCAGAACAACGCAGCGCGAAATTCAAGACGTTTTCGTTTGTTTTTTGGCGCCGCTACTTGTCGTGAGAACATCGATGCCGACAGTCAAGCAACAGGCCGAATCGGGACAAGCCTGCATTCGGAAGCAGTTTTCCAGGGCGTTGGTGGATGGTGTTGTCTTTATGCCTAAGCGACTTCAAAACAAACACGCTGCACAACGTACGAAGTAAGGTGCAAATAACCCTCAGAAGTCATCCGAGGACACAAAAAAGGTGATGTACAAATGCAGGGTTGTACCTCAAGTCCTGCCCCCATCCTTCCATTTATGCAGGGCTTAGACTAGGGATCAACAAGTGACCCAACAGAAAGACACGTACCCTCACATGCCTGCACATCTGCGCAATTGCAGTCCATACTACTTCTATGGCGCCCGAGCACAGGAGGTGACTTGCAATGCCGCCACATCGCGTCGCCCCCGCCTTCGCGCGTAGGACGAGGCTCTCCTTGAACTTCAAATTCCTGGCCGATAGTCCACCAACTGACTGGATAAAGCAAGCAGATGTTTAAGGGAACCCGAACGTTCACAGCATTCAAACTTGCAAGCTGTGCGCTTCCACTGCATCATAAAACAGGCCGTGTAGATCGAAGCTGAAGGAAACCTTGTTGGCTCGTATCTCGCTCACACGCTGAAGAAAGGACTGCCGCTGACACTGGAGTTCGAAATCACACCAAACAACATCCACAACTCTCAGAGCAGTCACCGCGCCCGCCGCGTAAACACAATGCGAGGGCGCCTAGAGCGCTAGCGCGTTGGGGTGCAGAGGGCGCGGAGGGCGCGCAGAGCGGCATCACGAATAGATTGTGTAGGCTTTCAGTCGGATCCACACTCGCTTGTCATTTGTTCCTTTCACTTGCGACGTTTCTTCTGATTTTTGCTTGTGTTTGTTTAAACGGCTTCTTCGCTTGGGCCATCTTCTGTCTTCGAAAGATACTCCCTCAGACCCCTCTCAGCCCCACGCCATGAGCCGCCCTTAACCCTATGCGTGTAAGCCTTCATTACACCCGAACTGTCGCAGGCGAGTTTGTTGTTTGGCAACCCATATCGAGGGCGAGGCCGTCCAGGTCAACAGAATCGCAAGCGAGAGGGCTCTGGAAGTGCAGGTTAACCAAAATTTAGTCACACACAAAGACATCGCAAACGATCAGATGGCCACAAGTGGGCGATGTGCCCTCCATTTCATTTCACTTCTCGGGAATTTCGAACAAGATCTCGTGACAGCCTCCCCTCCCGTTCAAAAACGATGTTTCAAATTCGATCAAAATCAACGTGCCCATCAGCCATTCATCAGCATGCATCCATCCAATGCAGAAAGTGGAAAAACAGAAAAGACACCAAGCGTCGAAGGAACCCCCCTCTTCATGCGGGTTTATGTAGTGTTGAAACATTCCCGGCCGTGAGGTCAAGATGCTTCAGGTTTAGGGCCGTACAAACATTTGCGCCTGCCGTCACGTCTTGGACTCTATGTTAGGGGAAGGCTATGTAGAAACCCCATAGAGCCATACGAAGATCTTCTCATAGAGCCATACCAAGATCATCTAGCTTGTGAAGTTGTATAGTGTACAGACTAGCTAGAGATCCTCTGTTCTTGAGTCTTTGCTTCTTGGGTGAGCGTAAAACGGAAGTCGTCTGAGCCTCGCCATAGAAATCCACGTGCGCTGATTCTGCTATTTAGGTGGAAATAAGCAGTGAAAATGCGGCCCACCTTCAACATTTAGGGTTTAGGGCCCCCCCCTCCCCTCCTTGTGGTTCTTGGTGGGTTTAGGATTGGAGGGGGGGGGGGGGGGAGGGGGAAGGGAAGAGACCATGAGGGGTGATGGGTTGAGAACGGAGCACGGACGCAATCCGTACTTCAGAACCCTGTAAGCCTGGCAACAGACCATACTAAGGGACCAAGTGACTACCCTTAGGTTAACAGACAAAGTCGCCCAAGCTGGCGCAGGGTCATGCAGGTTCAGAACTCAACGGAAACATCACGTAATGAAGTGTTATGATAGTGTTGTAGCCACAGAGATGTTGGTGGGTCCAACCTAGGCCTCCGATATCAGAAGGTGAACAGGATGCTTAGTGTTTGAACTTTGCAGTAGAAGTCAACATCTGTCATGCCAGCAACAGTCTTTGGGGGTCTCCGGGTTGTTCAGACATGCAAACCATGCCTGGAGTTCAATGCCTGTTCCGCAAAACCACACGACACCAAGGAGTGCTGAGATCGACGCCACACCAAGCGTCTTCAGCGCCTGGCACTGCCACCATAGTCGAAATTCTGCTCGTGATGAACACACAAGTAAGGTGAATTGACCCATGTCCCGTCAACTCACTGAAACCATTTAGAGCTGAATTTGAGCTGCCCTTGCTCAGTGACCGCTCACTCCGAAAACGCCTGATCTGAAGGTTGGATGCACCGATTCCCCTCGTAGAACGAATCAGCAGAGGTCAAGCACTCCTGCAAAGAACAAGAAGGCTCCAAACACTTCCGCTAGCCACCTTCCGCTAGCCACCTTCTCAATGGCTGGTTCTATTCGCTCTCTCCGGGAAAGATGGCATATGTTAGCAGATGTTTCTTTTTGCTCCCATCCTCTGGGCCCTGCCCAGCTCGGCAGCAGGCCTGGAGCTTAGCTTTGGCAAGGTCCAAGTACACTAAGTCACGAAGGGCACTAAGTGACACCTAAAGTCACATTGTTGCACTATGCGACTCATGTTGCACTCACATAGCCTCGAGGTTCCTGCCTTGCCAACTCCACACCAGCTGCACCAGCCAGTGAAGTTTCCACACTCCTGCCGGCTCTGTGCTGGCTTGAGATGGCTTCAGGGATCATGAAAACCTTGTTTCGGCGGGGGACAGGCCCTCCCCAGGGACTGTCGGCAATGATTCTTTCTTCGTGACGCGCATGTCTTTGAAGGCGAATGCTTCACAAATACGAGATACTATATTATCCCTCTTGGCATTCTGCATGCGCTGGCAACGTTCCATCGTGCGATAAAACAAGCTGTGGAAAAGACCGAAGCATCGGGTGGCCAGACAGCAATGCTATGGAACACAACGCGAAGGAACGTCAACATACGCAATGCCTCAAGACCTGATACTACCTCGAGGCATATTGCGTGTTCCAGTTTCTTGCAAGAAGCGAGGTGGTTAACACACATCAGCCGTGGAAATGCACATCACCGCAATGCAGACGCTCATGTAGAGATTTACACGTCAAGAGAGAAATACACATCGCAAGATACGAAACCCCAATGTGAACGCAACTTTCTTATCAACCAGTGAGACCTCAACATCCACCAAACCTTTTCCGAAGGCAAAAAGTGCAATCTGAAATCAACGCGGACGTCGGAAAATTCGGGGGCCATTGTAAAACACATCGCTACACCAAAATGCTTTCCGGACCGTGGCCTCAAGGCAAGGCTCTTTGTCGGGCAAAACCTCGGAACTACACTACATGGGCTTCATGACAGGCTTCATGACGGGCTTCATGACGGGCTTCGCAGTTCCAAAACACAGAGCTGACCAACATCGGCTGACCAGTGCGAACATTCGCTACACGTACTACACGTCGAGCAGCAGCGTGTAGCCTTCTGAGGTTTCCGGCGGACAAGCTTGGCAACAACAACGACAGCCCAAGGATTGTGGCCTGAGGCGCTGACGAAGTGACATATGAAATAGACACGGAGTGATACTGGAGTGAGAACCCGACTGCACTCGGTAACCAGAGCAAAGTATGCGCAAGTTCGCCAAAGCTACTTCGAAACTCTCCAGCTGACTCCAGCTGCTCTGGGCTTCACACCCGTTGAACAGCCATCACTTCGCCACAACGCGGCGCAATCTCCACTACTCTACATCATTCTACATCGTGTTCCAAATTGTGTTCTACATCTGCACTCCATGGTTTGGCGATATTGCAAATGCCCAATCGAATCTTGCACTTAAGGGTTTAGATGTGTCTGCCACAAGGACACCTATGAGTAACATGGCGTCACAACACGCAACGTTCGAGGCGTGGAGGAGTCGGGTCCTTGGGATCCTTGCTGTGCCTGTGCCACATGCAGTGTGTTGTGCAAGATTGGGTCGCACTCGTGCTTCGCCCAGGAAGAGATGGAAAAGACACCGATGAAAAAGCTCACGGCACACCTTGTCTGGAACCCATAAAACGGCATAAATGAGCATGTGGCATTTGTGGCAGTCACGCTCAGAGTGCATTCCGAGTTGAGGTGAAATAAGGAGAGGCCCCACGCATCTTTTGTCAGCCTGATGATCCTGACATTCTCCACTCTTTGGGGAGGGGCGAAGGCTCCCTGTTGCACATTGTTGTACATTGTTGCACATCACCGTTCTTCTTGTGCGGTGGGTTGGTATCCAGCTACCCAACCATGCTGTTCGGTGAACATCAAGTGACTGTGGACTCGGCGGAAAACTGCGAAAGTCCGCAGATCTCGGCGCCTTTGCAACCAAGCTCATGCAGCACTCATGCATAGTTTGCAACCTAAGACCTATCAGGACCTAGCACGTGGCTTCCCTTCCGAATCAAACCTCTTCCCCGGACTTCGGACGGGAGAAGAAGACTCACCACAGATGCTGTGCATGCGCTCTCGGTTTGCCAGCCCCGCCTGCTTGGTTCTGTGGTCCTCGTGGCGACTGATTGCCGCCGGGAAGGTCGACTTCTCAAGCTTCACTGGTTTCAGCCTATCCAGGAGGCTTCTTGAATGCCCAGCACTGCCTCGGCCTGCAGCCTTGAAAAGCTTACCATTTGTGGCCCCTGGCATGAGGTGCAGAACCTTGAAGGCCAATAGCAACAACCGAAAACATGCAATCTTGCTATGCTACAACCACAAGAGCCGCACGTAGCCTGAACCCCCCCATCTCACAGGGAACAAATGCTTGATGCTGCCGGCTGGCGATTCAGTTGCCCGCGCCGTCAAGTCTCAGCCTCCTTGTCAAACGAGCCGTGCATATCAAACACAGCAGACTCACGTAGGCTGACCACTCTTCGCCGCATAGGGCAGCCATTTCATCAGTAGTTCATTCAGAGAGTTCCAGACCCACAAGCAGCATGCTGGCCTCGCGCTGAGCACATCTGCTCAAGTCGGACGAACTCCTGCGACTTGGCTTTCCTCTAAATTCTCAAATTTCGAAACTATTAGAAAGAACATGTTAGAATGTTAGAACGGCTATAGAGTAGAAGATAGCTGCGCCAGCTCCTGCTGGGCGCCTCGGAGGGGTCGAACCTTTGGACGCCGCTCTGCACAAAAACACACACACACACACACAGAGACACGTGCACAAAAAAACAAAAATAAAAACACAACACGACCAGACCCGAGAAAGCTGAAGCTTCGGCTCTTGCCCTGAACTTTCTCGCACATCGCGCCCGCCCTCGTCGCCCTCATCGCGCTCATCGCAATGGCCATGGCCGCGGCCTGTGCTGCGGCCTCAGGCGAGGCCAAGACACGTGTAAGACCGCGCCACCATCAGAGTGCCCAGAGTGCCCAGATCCAGCTCTGCAGCTGCAGCCAGGCTCAGCCAGGCAACTGACAAGGGAGAGCAAGGCTTCGTCCAAGGATTGCAACTGGCTGACACTGTCTTCGAAATCCTGCCATCAGTAACTGAAAGCAGCTAAGATCGTGTGAGCCTGTCAAGGAAAACCACAAGAACAGTGATGAAGGACCGCCCGCTCCTGCGAAGCGGAGTCTGGAGACACGTCCTGGGCATCCTGAACACAAAATGCCACAGGCGCCAGTGTGCGCACCTTCATTGCACCCCGCCACAAAAATTAAACGAATCGTACGACTCTTCGCACTGAGCAGAGACTCTGAGACTTCGTGAACTTCTTGGCGGCGCCCTGACACATCCGAGAGTCTTGAGACGAATCTTAACACAGCCACGGAGGCCTTGCGAGCTCCCAGCAGCTCGCGCCTTTGATGAAACATGTGGCTGAAGCTAGGAGGAGATATGAAGCCTCCGCAACGCCCCAAACGACAGCCAAGGATATACAGCCAGTGAGACGACGAAGAGCAAACATGCAGCGAACAGAACTAGGGGAGACACAACTCTGGCACGCACACCTCTTTTCAGTTAGAAAGAAAAACGGAGATAAACAGAAAGAGAGAGAAAGAGAGAGAAAGAGAGAGAAAGAGAGAGAAAGAGAGAGAAAGAGAGAGAAAGAGAAAGAGAAAGAGAAAGAGAAAGAGAAAGAGAAAGAGAGAGAAAGAGAAAGAAAGAGAAAGAGAAAGAGAGAGAGAAAGAGAAAGAAAGAGAGAATGAGAGAGAGAGAGAAAGAGAGAAAGAGACAAAAAGAGAAAGAGAGAAAGAGAGAAAGAGAGAAAGAGAGGAAGACAGACAGAGAGAGAAAGAGAAAAAGAATGAGAAAAAAAGAAAGAGAAAAAGAGAGAGAAAAAGAGGGAGAGAGAAAGAAAGAAAGAAAGAAAGAAAGAAAGAAAGAAAGAAAGAAAGAAAGAGAAAGAAACAGAGAGAAAGAGAGCGAGAGAGAGAAAGAAAGGGAAACAAAGAGCAAGAAAGAGCAAGACAGAGCAAGAGAGCAAGAGGGCAAGAGGGCGGAAAGACCATTAGACGGAAAGACGGAAAGGCGGAAAGACGGAAAGGTGGAAAGGCGGAAAGGCGGAAAGGCCGGAAAGGCCGGAAAGGCCGGAAAGGCCGGAAAGGCCGGAAAGGCCGGAAAAGGCCAGGAAGGCAGGAAGGCCGAAAGGCCGAAAGGCCGAAAGGCAGAAAGGCAGAAAGGCAGAAAGGCAGAAAGGCACAAAGGCACAAAGGCAGGAAGGCAGGAAGGCAGGAAGGAAGGCAGGAAGGCAGACAGGCAGGCAGACAGGCAGACAGGCAGACAGGCAGACAGGCAGACAGGCAGACAGGCAGACAGGCAGACAGGCAGACAGGCAGACAGGCAGACAGGCAGACAGGCAGACAGGCAGACAGGAAGACAGGAAGACAGGCAGAGAGGAAGAGAGGACGAGAGGGAGAGAGGAAAAGAGAGGAACAGAGAGGAAGAGAGAGGAAGAGAGAGGAAGAGAGAGGAAGAGAGAGGAAGAGAGAGGAAGAGAGAGGAAGAGAGAGGAAGAGAGAGGAAGAGAGAGGAAGAGAGAGGAAGAGAGAGGAAGAGAGAGGAAGAGAGAGGAAAAGGAAGAAGAGTCTGCATTCTGCTGCCATGGTGCCGCTGCGCGGTCCGCTTCAGGCACGCGTCCCTTCGTGTGCACTCTTCCACTATTAGGCAAGCTCTGACAATTCTCAGGAAAAACCGGTGCGCCATGGTGCGCCTCTTGGGCTTCTGGGCCTGGGGCTCCACCGCCAAAGTCTCCTTCACGAGCGCGACCTGTTGCACGTCTGAAAAAAATTGATAGGACGGGATACCTAGTCTAGGCAAAGGCCTCCGCCCGCAGCACCATCTCCTCCCAAGGACTGTGGCAAGTGCACTTCGGACTCGCTGCCACCAGCTCCATCACGTCCATCACCCCAGTGCGCAGAGTGCCCAGTGTGTCCGGAGGCGCGTCGCGACATGCCGTTCGGGACGCTCATGTCATACGCATTCTCTGAAATTCGGGCCTCACGGGCTTCACCTGCCGCCCCATCAGCATTCTCCCCGCGATAGTCGCGAAAGGCTTCACGAGCTTCACCCGCGCGCTCTGCCGCGAAGCTAATACTCCCTGCCGCACCATCTGCACTGGGCCAACTGGGCCATGCGTCACCTGTGATGATGGTGGCACCGGAACCGTCTCGGTGGGAGGGTGCGAGGCCCTCGAAAGCTTCCCCACTGCCGGCGTCGCCGTCGCCGCCGGGCCCAGAAGGCCCAGGCCGCTGAAGCCGCTCTTCGCCGTCTGCGGAACGGCCGGTGCCGAGCATGCTGGGCGTGCCGGGCACGGGCACTGCAGAAACGGACGGGCCCGGACCCGCACTCATCTCTGGGCCGGAAGGTCCGGAGGCGATGGTCAAAGGTCCGCCTCCATCTTCCGCACCAGCGCGATGGACAGTAACAGCAGCTCGCCTGCAGGGTTTTTGCAAGACTGCCCAAAGCAGCTCACTTGCCATACATCTTCCCACCAATGCACCTCGATTGGTGCCCGCCAGCAGCCTCGAAAATTGTGGCCAGATGTGCCAACGAGCACTGAGACACTCACTCCCTCTCCCTACAGCATGATTTGCTGTTGTTGTCCTTGCGGCCCCAGCTGGCCCCGGCTGGCCCTTGCTGTCCACAGCTGGCCCCGGCTGACCCCAGCTAACTGCGCTGGCCCCCCGCCGGCCCGCATTGGCTCCCACGGCCATGGCGGAAACACAAAATGTAAAAACACATGCTGACACTTTGTTGCAAAGTTGACAAATGTTGACAAAAAAGCCTCTTCGCCAGCGTTGCTTCGCGCCTTGTGCGAGACGCTCTGAAAGCACAGCATACTATAACAGCACACAGAGACCAAGACTTTGTAGACTCTATGTACTCTGTGTACACTGTAGCACTCGCCGTTCACTCGGCCTCGGCATGTTCCGCCCGTGCACTCGGAACCCTGCCTCGCGCCATACAAAAAGAGCAGATTTTGCAGAAGGGGACAAACAAATCCGCCGAGGCCTGGGCTCTCTCTCTCTCTCTTGCTCCGCCCTCTCTTTTCGAGAAGGGAGGTCGATGTCATTTTGTAATTGGTTCATAAACGCAGGATTTCTGAAACAATCTTGCTGTCGCGCATGCCCCCACCCCACCACCCGCAGGCTCAGTTCAATGATTATTCTCCGTTGTGCTGCCGGAACATCTCCCCTGCGCGACGGGCCGCCGCAGATCCCAGAGCTACAATTATTTCACCAGTGCAGAAGCACCGCGTGACAATGGGAAAAGCTTGGGAGTTGAATCGTCTAACCTTGTCACTCCCAGTGCTTACTCTGCTCACTCCTTGGAACTCCGTTTGCATGCAGATCATCAGGTCAGGAGGGGAAGACGCGAGAAATTTCGCATCGCGATCGTGAACACTCCAAAAAGACGCGCAAAACGACTCTCTTGCCTGCCAAGGCGTCATGCGCAGGCTCCGAGTTGCTTCCTGCATGCGAAAAAAGAGCATCTGTGCTAACGCATAAACATCTTTCATTTGCGGTTCACGCATGCCTGCAGAGAAGCGCGTTGCCACGTCTTCCACTAACTCGCTTGCCGAGAGCACCTGCATATTGCCAGCAAATGCCGGCTGCACACAACAATAATGCCATACTGCACATCACGACTTTAGACGACCTGCGCGGTGGCATCGTGTGCATGTCGGGATTCCAAGCTGAGGAGTCGCTGGTCCTTGTTGCAAAATGCTGCATACAACATCCAAAATCTGCCACAACCCTTCGCTGACTTTCACTGCATCGTCGCTGCCCTGTCCTGAGAGTGGAGAGCCACACGCATCTCAGGAAGTTCCACGGTTTGCCTTCCAGTTTGCAGAAACATCTCCCCTTGTCAGTGACTTGTGTGCGGCCGAGGGGCAAGGACCACAGCGCAACCTCTAGCTGGGACCTGGCTAAAAGCGGCTAAAATCTTCCGAGGCAAACGCCGTCATGTTACGGAACGGGGCCCTGGCACCCGTTGCTCTGCCAATCCATGGAGCTCCTACACAACAGCATCTCCGCGAAATTCTGCCCAACAACATGCAACAACATGTCCGAACCTCTTCGCCATCTCTGCGAGGCTCTAGCGTGCCTCGAGGCAGAACAGAACACTGTGGTTCATCATGGTCCATCCATCTCCGTCCCTTCGCCCCACAGCGACGTGCGTGCCTGCTACGTCGGCAGGTCCAGCATCCGCATCCTGACAGTAGTATGTGATGTGAAGCAACTACCAACTGACTAACCCTCCCGACAATCGCGGCCCCAAATTGCCTTTGTGTCTGCATCTTCTGATAGCACCTGTCACGAGGGTCATGCAACTGTACCATGCTCCATGTCATTGCCCAGCTGCTGTCACAGCTCGTTGAACGGTGGAGCTCACAAATGGAGCTTTTCCAAAACATCCGTGCCTGCGAAACATCTGGTCCTTCTGGGCGGGACTCCAAGTCTGTAAGGCGTCGTTCCTGACCCCAACATGTGACATCATGTGATAGGCATGTGAATGCCGATCGCAGTATAAGACAACGCCACAATATACAACAACGAACGATAACATGTCTGCCACTTCCTGTGCATGTACAGCCAGCCGCAGCTCTGGAAGCTCCATGCTCTGCCTGAGCTCTCAGACTTACGTAGCTGACGGCGACATACGGCGACATCCGGGGACCACACCGCCCTCCTGGAGACGTCACTCTTTCGATGCACAAGCTATCACAAGCTGCAGGCAGGATGCAGAGACCAGACTGCCACTTCCAGCTGCGACCTCAAGCCACACAAAGGGCCCCACGACGAGCGCACGAGCTCTCCCACGAGCTACCCCACGAGCTCCCCAACGAGCTCCCCCACAAGCTCCCTCACGAGCTCCACACGAGCGCCCGCGAGTGCCCCATCCGCTCTGACATGCAACAAGTTTATGAAAGCTGAGCTATAAAGTATTCATCGGCCTTGGACGCACCTTGACTGGAACGACTGCTGTAACCCAGGGCCACCCAAAGTTGCCGAAATGCCGGAAGGGCCAGAACGACTCGGGTCAGGGCAGCGGTGGGCACTTAAGTTGCTGCAACTTAGCAAAGCGAAGTTGCAAGGCATTGCAAGGATCACCTTGTACCTGCCTCGACGTGCCTCCATGCTCTCATAGAGACCATGAGTGCTGCTGTGTTCGGGTGAGTTACGGTGCGCGTGCTCTGGCCAGGAAAACACATTTTCCCTTCAGCTTGTGTGGCCCGAATCCTGAAGGATCTTGGAGAAGTGGGTGTATGCAGCATCAACATGCATGAACCCTTCGGACCCCGTTCTTCCTGACCACGGGCGGGGGACACATCGTACTGCCCGCAACTTCTCGCATTAGCAAGATTCACCGTGCCTCTCCACGCATTCTCTAAGCACTGGGTGCGAGGCATACGCTGCTCGGCAACCAAGCTGCGAAGCTCCTGCGCAGCTCAGTGCAACAAAATGCGCGAGGCATCGCGATGCTCGCTGAATCTCGCTGAGCCCCAAAAGCATAGATTCCTCCCCGCCGAGGCTGCGGGGTGAGAGCCTCCATGCCAAGATGTGCCCCAAGGGCCCCAAGTTGTGTTTTGGGCGTCAAGGCGGCTCGGCCTGCTCTCCTCTTCGCTGAAGAACTCTGCGACGTCGTGTCGCAAGTCCTGCGCATCCGGGCAGTGCTCTGTGCACGTGCTAGAAGTTTCAAAAAAAGAACCGACCTGGAATAGCCCCGCCACTCTCTGAGAGGCAGATTCTGCATTGATAGCGCGCTCCTCCCACATTGTATGTAAAGCGGCTCTGCTCACTACCCACATGCTCATAGCCCACATGACTCGCACGCACAATGACATCAATGAGCAAGCCTTTGAACTGTGCATCTGTGTGCCTCATGGCACATGCATACGAAACGCATGCGAAACTTGGATTTGACCAGGTCTGGTAACGATGTGGCTCCGTATGACTCGTCTACTCCACATCTGCAGACATCTGCAGACCTGCTTCAAATCTGGTGAAACTGAATTCGTGAGACATGGTGAGACTCGGCACACGGCAAAGATCTCAGTAGCCAAGACCCGTTTCCTGGAATTTGTTGTTGCGAACTAGCTGGAGGACACCGTCGCTGTTCTGCCGGACCTGTAAAGGAACTTCAGCATACTCAACATCTCCAAACCTCTCCAAACATCTCCAAACATCTCCAAACGATCTCCCTTAGAGATCTTAGAGTGTCTTGCCAGTTGCCATTGGCCTCGTCCAATCCCTGCGTCAGCTCCACGAGATGCTCGAACAACACCGCCGTGCACTCGATCACGCCCGTCAGCTGCACACGGAACTGGTTCCTCTCTTCTCAGATACGGAAAAATACGGACTTGCGCTTGCGTTGCTTGCTTTTCTTGCTTTTGCCCCGCCTGCTCCCTCCTATACTCTCCAAAAAGTGCGAAAGTGTAAGTGGCTTGCATGAAACGGTGCTTGTTTCCCCGGCAACACTTCTCCCCTCTGCTTTGCTTGCCCTCGCCCTTGCAAACCTGCTTGCTGAACTTGGAGCTCAGAGGTACTATGAATGTCAAGATTTTGCAACAGGATGCAGAGTTCGTCGGATGTCTGATAAAGGGCCTTAGGTCCAAGATGGCACCGCTCATCTGCTCTGCCACCTGCGTGATCTCAGGCACCTTGGGCTGAGCAAGCAAACGTCTATACCGGAAGTAGAGTCTGAATTGCAGACAAAACTCACAGCACAAAAAAGCCCACCGAATCCAGCAAGCCAACCGTTCAGGCCCATGAGCCCCTTGAGGTCCACTTGAGGTTCGACACAACAGCAGCAGGCTCTTCAAAGCTGTGCAAAGCCGTGCATTGTTTTTGTCCCACCTCGGGCACGTCGTCATCCAGCTTGACACGCCTTGAGTTCCGAAGCTTTGGAGAAAGGAGAAGGGGTTGAGACTTTGTTTGGCATTCTTGTGTTTTCTGTAGGGCTATTGCCCTGGATGCCCGCGGATTGCTCTACGTTTGTTGGCAGACGAGGGAGACCAATCCATTCGAAATCTAGATTGAAGGGTGCGCCAGCATGTCATCGTTCAAAAAGTCGAGATGCCGCCACAATGTATAGATATTTACCTCGGCTTCCTGCCGAGAAGCGTTTGGAACAAGCAGACACGGGATCCGGTCTCCTTCACCCAACCCTTCCCACGTGCCAAATTTTGTGAGGACCCCTCCCTTTTTTTGAGGCCCCAGAAACCATCTTTCCTCCTTTCCTGTCTGGGCCGGCCCGGCTGCCGAAGCGGCGCGCGCAAGCGTTTACAATTATGAGCTAAGACAAGTGAACAGCGCAGCGAGAGCCAAGCTCGTGGAAGTGTGACAATGTCACGGGACGAACATGATAAGGCGAAAGCCGTCGGCAATTAAGTTGATCACAGCTTTTATGCGTGGATTGATTCACGATGCCCCACAGAGATCTTGTGAAGGCTGGGAATTAGCGCTGCTGTGTTGTATTTGGGGGCTTAGTTTCGCACAGCGCGTTGGGTCACTGGCGAGGCTTGGGCTTGGGTATGTTGCGGGATGCTCCACCACCGAAAGGTTATCCCTAAGCTATGGATTACAGATCCTAAACAACGCAATCGCCTTGCCCTCGAACCGGCGCTGATCAAGCCTTCTTCCAAAGCAACCTTGCCCATGGCCTATGGACAAGAAGGATCGGTGATGTCTGGTTTGCTTCAGGGGACACAAGGCATTTAATTCACTGAGTGCAAAGCTCAAGCTTGTCAATGCGGGCGAAGATAGTCCCCTGACCGTGTACCCCCAAGCTGACGCTACTCTGGAGAAATATCAGCACCGGCCGTATCTAGCGCCTGCATGGCTTTGACGGCACTGACTGGATTGCCAGCTTCCTCCCACATGCAGCTCAGCGGTTCTAGCTTTGTGTTATGGCAGGTCACAGAGTTCGTCCTCCCGCTCTTCAGACTTGAACTTGCGGATTACCTCGACAGCACGTTTGCTGCCAAGCAGGAGTGGTATCGTGGAGTCCTGCCAAGCCAACATGGCCAGATAGCGCATTGATGTGGCAAAAGCATGTCTCAATTGGCATGTGAAGAAAGTATGTGTGAAGGGTTTTGTCAGCGAACTGGTTTCTACTCGACCTCGTCCATCAGCCGCTGCAGCTGTGCCCGACTGATCTCCTGCCATGCAACGACATCAACTGTCTGGTTCCCTCCTCCTGCACAAGCTCAACGAGCCTGCTTCATCACGCTCGGCGGGATGTCATACAATGCCAAGGGCCTTAGAAGATTTTTTCCACGTCGAGCAAGCATGGCGTACAATGCAAGCATGGGCACTACATCAGAAGCAAATCATAAACCACTCTTCCTACAAACTGAAATAGTGTCGCTTCCACAACATGACAGAAAGCAACAAGTGCTACCATGCCGCTTGTGTTCTATTGGAGCTGTCATCTGGTCAAACACATCCGACTGCGTGCTTGGCAACATCCAATCCTCGGTCTCACCGACAAGGCAAACAGCATTAGCCACTCATTTCATCTGCCACTTATACTCTAACAACTTGATGGTGTTCACACGCACATTACCCGCTCAACGCCATCCCTACTCTCCCTTACTGTCGTACAACTCTACTTCCTGGTAGGACATAGCTTTGGAAGCATGGTCAGGTGTTCGGGTCCGATCCCTTCCTCGATTCTTCTGAGATAGGCTCCAAAAGTCATCCAATGCCCAATGCACTCCACTCCTAAAACACTATAGACTGTCGAAGACGGCGATCTCGCGGCAAGTGGCAGCTGCCACACCTCCGCCAGGAACATAGCATTGCACGGACGGAAGCCCTGTGGTCCATTGTTCTCCAAGCCGATGTGACCCAGATGGGTTTGGAGGGGAATCCGCTCAAACTCCAGGCACGAAGGAAACCAGAGCGACAGGAATCAACTGGCATATGCGCTCCAGGTCAAGTGAATCGCAGCGTCCTCGACTATCAACGAGCCGCACCCCTCTGAGACCGCGAAAATTCTCCGTATGTCTCCGGTCGCGCAGAAAGAGCATACGGCACCATCGACAGCTCGACGTGAGCTATCTTACTCTCACCAGACGTTTACAGGCCATAGACATGTTTTCAACACAAGCCGCAAATGCCTTTGACCAAACGAGCATGAATTCTGCCTGTTCCTTCGGGCAAACTTCAAATTGGGTCTCGCGAGTGCAAATGTAAGCAGATGTAAGGTCACACCCCCGCTCCTGTCCCACCCAGCCGTAGACTCCCAATTCCCGGAAATTGAGGACTTCAATTTGGCCCAGCACTGGTGCTGGATAGGGCCCCTTCAGTTCGCACCTGGCCTTAAAGCAGCCCACAAGTCCCAGACGGGCATCACAGCATCCAGGATGAACAACAACTTTTAGAGTCGTGACGGCAGAAGCATTCTTCAAGTAAAATTAAGAACACGCAGCTAAAGCTGCTGTTGCAACAAGGCGCAAAGAAGACTTGAAAAAAGGCTGAGTGCAAACAGTTGAGAGAAGGTGCACAATAGCTGAACAAATATGCAGAGCAGATTGCTGCAACTAAGGGTTGCTGGAGATTGAGAAGCCCAGGTGTTCTGTCAACTCTTCTAAGCACGTTACGCCAACTCTCAATCACTGGATGATTTCTGTACTACCGAAAAACCAGACTCGGATTGACAACTGTGGTTTGTGTTCGCTTCGAAAGAGTAGCACCGTCTCTGATTCACGGAGAAAGGGTTGCATCAGCAAAGGCTCGGTGACGATGTTATCCGCCTTCTTTGACAGCGAGCGATCCACATCCTGCACTGAACGTCCAAGCGAGCTATGCGAGCTCCCTCATGAGACGAGAGGAATGTCTCCTCGGGGAAGAGATCCATGCCCGCAAAGTTCTGGTCTGCAACAAATTGCATCCTTGAAGCGCGCACGGCTCGTCAGGAGACAAACAGGTTGGTTTGGCAGAAGCTTGATTCAAGCTTGACTCAAGCTTGCTTGGTCTCAAGCCTGCGCTTCTTCTCGACCCACTTCCGCCGGACCAATCCCGGCAGCAGCTCCAGAGTGATCGACAGGTCCTGAGACGATGAAGCTTGAAAAGCAGACGCAAAAAACCGGAAAGGAAGAGCAGAGAGCAGAGAGCCGGGTGGGGGTCTGTCTGCCTGTCTTTTGAGAAAAGCAACTAGCTTGCTTGGTGTCCTGCCTTGGGGTTCATGTGCTCCTCTGCCTCATCTTTCACAAGTGACTGTCCCTTCATCCAGTTGTAGTAGGTATGCAGGAAGACCTTGGAGAGCCGACAATGATCGCACCATGCTCGCACAGCATCCCACCCTCTCTGCACTGGCACCTCTCAGTCATATGCAAGGTACAATCATCGGGTTCTTTTTGTTTGCCTCCACCGCATAAAGTCTGGAGGCCAAAGAGAAAGTATCAAGGACAATGGCCACGAAGATGTTCAGAAGCACGAAGTATATCAAAGCCTATGTGAGCAATCACAAGCAGAATGCAACGCACAGAGCACCCCCAGATTGCAGAGCACATATCTCAGCCAGCCGCAATGTAGCCCAAAAATATTAGTGTCACAACTTGGTCCTGTCAAACATTTCGAAACGGCGTGTCAGGCAAAGACAGCAACAACCAAGACAGCAAAATACTGCCAACATGGCGGCGGCCTTGCCGGGGCGAAACCATTCCACATCGATGGAATAACCGTCGATCAGCAAAAAGAAGAGCACCTCGAAAGCCATCGGAGATCTCTCAGCTTCTAACTCGCCAAGCACCAAAGCCTA